TATAATAATATAAGCGCGAATAAAGCAGTAGCCAGATAGACCAAAGTTTTAAAAATAAAGTGCTCACTAGCACAGACAAAGAAATTAAGTTTAGAGTAAGTAATTCACCTTAATGTAATTCGCCAGTCGCCCTGCTTTTGATGGTGAGATACTCTTTCACCAGTAACTCTCGAATCCCATCAAAATCTGGTGCACATCTCGAGTGTCGACACATATCCATTACAGCTTTCTTGGCAAAGGAGAGTATTCGGCCATCCATTCCTCCCTGTACGGCTTCTGATACCACTGTGCGCAGTATTCGGTCTACTTCTGACAGAGCTGAGTTAGAAGTTTGAGTAGGGGGCGTTATCTGTCTCTGAGCTCGTTTTGGACGAGATTTGCTAAGTTGCTTGGTAATCTCTTCTAAATTCTGATTTTTGTAGACCACAGCATCCTCGGGAACCTCCATTTCGCGGGCCATTTTGAGAACCGTTTCCTCAGAAACTCGATCTTCACCCCTATTAGAGTTCTTTAGCAAAGCATCTTGCACATCACATTCCATCAGAATACAGTAAAATTGAAGTGCAAACGCACGAGCCATCCTCTTGAATGGACGTCGCATACTTTGAAGGTAGAAATTGTCGTCTACAATCACCCATCCATTAAATTCATCATCGCAATTTTGCTCCAGATACATTCGAACCGTTTGTTCGAAAGATTTTCTATCGACATGAGCTTGAAATTCACTTGACCATCGGCCGTTAATGTCGTCTAGCGAAAACAACACAGAATTTGGGTGATAATCGAGTAGTTTCGCAGCGAGAGTTGATTTCCCTGCTGCTGGTAATCCCATAATAAGTATCAAAGACATCCGCGGCTCTTATATTCAGAACTGAAGCAAATGTGTTAGAATTATAAGCACTCTGCAAATTTGTCTATTTAAATACTTGAGTAAATCACAAAAAGAAATACTCAGTGCAATACAATAAGGCAGAATGAAAGAAACGTCTTTTATATGCATTAATTTCCGCATCTGTAAATCATGTAAGTGTGCAATGTGTTTTCGCAATAATGCACATAATACTAATTTTGTCGGGACTGCCGGCTCTTACCGCAGTGATTTCTACGTCCTCCACAGAGGCTTAGTGTCAGTATTCAAACCAACTGTTA